GGGACTTTCAATGGACTTGAATGAATGGCTTGCCATGTGCTTTGGTCATATTGGGACTGTGCCTTTTTATTTGTTGACTTTGGGTTTGTCAGCCTCACCAGCTAGCAGATGCCTGAGAGAAGAGATGCCTCTAGCTTCAGTGGGCCAGTGATAAGAGGCACAGCTGAAGCCCAAGGTCCAGGGGCTTTCACCCAGGCCCTAGAGCCTGGCACCTGGAACTTGGACTTCTAACCTCTGAAACTGTAAGAGAATAAACTCGTTTGTTAAAACCATCCCATTTGTGGTATATTCCTGTCAGAATGGCACTAGGTAACCAAAACACAACTCAAACTCTAACAGGCTGTCTCCATAAACTACTACCTCTGTTATCCTGAGACCAGAAAAAAAGGGATGGTTCCCCGTTACCATCACTGAACGTTTTGATCAAGGATCCAAAAGATGGATCCAGATCAAAAGGGGGGAAAGTGTGGTACAGAACTTCAAACTCATATGGAAACCAGACTCACTGGATTCATTGAGACTTGGGGACCCCAAAATCTAGTGCCTGGAAATAATCTTTAAACCTTGAACTGAAACTACCCCCTGAAGCCACAGTAAACTAACAACAATTTAGCCCAATTAATTAAGTACGTTTGCCTCCGGAATAACGCTCTTAGAGAAAATTGATCTGTATGAGTGTAAACTGACAACACTTAATAGAAAACACAGATGATAACTTTAAGGGGTGGAGAGCCCAGAACAACAGTGATGAAATAACAGAATAGTAAAGGATGTAACCAATGTTGTTGAACTGTACATGCAGAAATTGTGATTGGATGTAGGTTTGGCTGTGCATATAGCCATAGCCACCAACACTAAATGATTTCTAAAAATTGAACAGGATTCCTCTGATGGCCGTGCGAGATAGCAGATTGGGGGAGGGGGTTGAGGGCAGAGCTGGAAGGCTGCGTGGTCCTTAAGGAGGTGATGGCTGGGCCAGGGAGGTAGCAGAGCTGAACTGTGGAGAAACTGCTGGATTCTCAAGAAAGACCAGGCTGACTGGTCTGATAGAGCCTGGTGAGACCCCCTTCAGGTCTGGAATTGAACTCACTCCTGTGGCTTCCAGCCAAACAACAGACAGGCATATGGGGTGAACATTTACATCAGGTAGATACATTCCTTAAAGCGATCAATCAGGGAGAACAGGAGGCCAGTGTTTGCACAGGGAGCCAGCCCAGGGGCAGGAGTGTATGGGCAAGAAGGACACAAGGAGGAAGTGGGGAGAAAGCTGTTACATCGTGGGGAATTGCAGTCAGTGTTGTGAGACAAAATGTGTATGAGCCACTCGCTGTATGGAAAATGAATCTGCTCTGTAAACTTTCACCTAAATCACAATAAAAATTAAAAAAAACAAACAAACAGATCGAGAGGGAAACCTGAATAAAGAGCTTCAGAAAATTAAAAAAAATAAAAGGAAGCTGTTGGATTCTGAGTACCACATAGCACAGAATGAAGTTTCTAAGATGTTAATTGGATTGCATCACTCCTGGTTAAAATCTTCTCTGATTGACTCTCAGAATAAAGTTCCGGAAACTTCATCATGGCCCACAGGGCCCTGCCATCTTTCTGACATTTCCTGTCACGCTCTTCCCACTCCTCTCCAGGCCTCCTTTTTGACTCTTGAATGTGCCTCAGGGCCTTTGCACCCGCTGCTTCTCCTTCCCAGAGCTGCACATCCCTCCCTGCTGTGCTGCAAGGCCAGCTCCTCAGTGCCATCCAAGTTCGCCCAAGTGCCAAATCAGCCTCCCTCGATCATGTTCTCTAGGGAACCCCACCCCCTCCGCCCGGTGTACTCCGTCTCACCCTGTTTATTTCTTCACACCGTAATTACCTTGCATCGGCTTGTTAACTAGACCGTGAACCTCACGGGGCAGCCTAAGGCTTGTTCTCTGCTCTATTTCCAGGCTTGACACACCACGGACCGCAAATACCTGTTGGTTGTTGATGATGGAATTGAGGCCACCTGTGAATGAGGACTCAAGTCGTGGGACCCTCCAGGGCAGTGCCAATGAAGCCAAACAGACAGACTTGGGGTCCCCTTGACTCGACTCCTTGCCAGCCCAGTCCTGTGCTGTTTCTGTGATAGGCTGTGGATCAGACTATTGTAATCTATAAATTTTCTGGCTGATTTATGAAAGTAGATTGCCAGGCCTGTCTTCCTAGGCCCTCGGAGTCTGGCAGCTGCACTGATACACGTTCAGAATCATAGCAACATGGAAGTCGCCACATGGTGGCCGCAGACGACGTACACAGGAAGAGAATCGAACCTGGGTCTCTTGCGTGGCAGGCGAGAATTCTACCACCGACTCACCACTGCCAATTCCGTTTCACCTCATCTCCAAGGCTACCATGCTGGTTCGAGCCATCATCCCCTCTCATCTGAACCATCAGTCACTTCCACACTGGGTACTAGCTTCCACCTTCACTCCTAAAGTCTATTCCCAGAGGAATCCTATTAAAGCTGCCCTCCTGTGACTCCTGAGTCACTGGGGATACAGGTCAGCATCCTTACAGTGACCCACAACGTGGCTAGTCCTCCCCTACTCTCCCTGGCCCTTCTGCTCCGGCGCAGTGGCCTCCCTAATGTTGCTGGAACACAGACTCAACAATCCTTCTGTACCTGCTCCCACACCTCCGTGACTCCGCTCAAACGCCACTCTCCACTCTCCCCTGGTCCCCTTATTTCAAATTACAATCACACACACACACCCATCCCCCAACCCCTTTCCTATTTCATTTTTCTTCACAGTACTGATCACCTTCTTACTTATATTCTTTTGTTGTGGAGAAGTGAAAATTTACCCACCATAAGCTACACTAACACGATTTCTACATTACCATTCACTGCTGTTAACTACAAAGAGCTCTGGTGGCACAGTGCCTAAGGCATTTGACTGCTAACTAGAAGGTTGGTGGTTCAAACCCACCAGCCACTCCATGGAAGGAAAATTGAGCAATCTACTTCTGAAAAGATTTACTGCCCTGGAAACCCAAAAGGGGTCAATATAAGTCGAAAGGATAGCAGTGATTTTTTTTTTTTAATATGCATTAATTATATTCCTCATGTTGTACAATCACTCTGGTTTTTTCCAAAATATTCTACTGCTATTAACCAACTCGATGTCCCATCACGTATATGTTTTACTTATTTGTTTAGTTTATCATCTGTGTCTCTCGACTGAAAGTGAGATCCACAAGGTTTTTTTGTCTTTTGTGTTCGCTGCACCTAGAACTCTTCAGGCGCGCAATAAATAATTGTTGCATGGATGAACGCAGCCTCGTTTGTTGAATGACCTTGAGCAAGCCTACGGAATGTGAAACTACAAATCTCGCAGTCCGACTTAACTCCATTATCCCGCCATTCAGTTCGGTCAACACTGGTGGTTCTAGATTCGTTCCTGCCTCCACGCATCTGCTTAAAGCCGTGCCAGCCCCAGGATCACCCTCCCTCCCCGCTCCGTGACGTAAATGTGTGGACTGGGGGCTCCCCAAGCGTAATAGGAAAGTTGATGGGTTGCCATGGTTACTGCACCCGCCTGGGGCGGACTGTCACCAGAGCTCCCAGCCTCTACGGCTTACAGTCAGCAGAGCCCCAGCCGCCCCGCGCCGGGGCAGGTATGGGAAGCGACCACGCGATTTTCTTACACCTCCACGCCGCCCACGCAATTGCCATGGAGACAGTGCGCTTCTCTCCAGCGCCGCCTTTCACTCTAGGACTAAACGAAAGAGACGCAGGCAAAGCTCGAAGGCAGGGTGTTTGAAAGACACTGAGGATCCTCTCTCCCTCCTTTTCCCCCCAAGGATTGCTACGCCTGCGCGGAGGCGGAATACGGGGAGCGAGAGGTGCGCATGCGTCATTGGGGTACCAGGAGGCCAAGGGAACGAGCGCAGCGCTAATCTTGCGCCTGCGCAGCTGGAGGCAGCTGGTGGAAGTCAGTAAAGGGCAATTCTGCGCTTGCGCTTTGGGCGGTGTGAGACCCAGGCGGTGAGGGCGTTGGAGCTGACTGGCAATCGGCGCGCCTGCGCCGTGGCTCGCTGGGCGGCCGGGGGCGGGGCCCAGAGAGGGGAGGGAGAGAGGCGGGGTGGGGGGAGGGAGGAGGCCGCAGAAGCCCAAGCCCTGACCGACGGGCAGGAGGGGGCTGCGGCGGCGCCGGTGAGTGACCTGCGGCCCGACTCGGTCCCTACCCCCCGCGACCCATACTCTTTCTGGAGTCTCCAGAGCCCCTGTTGCCCTCTCCTGATCCCAAGCCCCCATTATTTATTCCGAGTTCCCCTTAATTCCTGGCAAGCCCCAAAGCCCCTCAGGATCTCTGCAGACCTTAATCCATAGTATTTTATCGTTCCAGCTCCCCCACTCTGTCCCAAGAGCCACCAACTCATCATTATTCCTGGACATCCACTTAAGATCCCCTTCTCATTATGCCTTACGGTCGTCGCCCCATTGCCCTGGAATCCCCAAAGCGCGCAGGTCCCCCATTTTTTGTTGCACCCCGTTCAGGATCCCCTTACTTCCCATCACCCCATATGTCCTCGACCCCCGAGGCACTACCATTGCCTTTTCCTTTCCCGTTCTCCTGTGTCCCCGTTCTCCTCTAACTCCTGCAGACACCTCTTATCTTCACTTTTGCACGTTTCCCTCCAACCCCCCGGACCCTTCCCCAATTGCCGTAACTCCTCGGCGGCACTTTGCGCGGCGCCAGGAACGCAGCGAGCGCTCAGCGGGTGTCCGCTATTATTAGGCTCCACTGAGTAACCCCCGCCACCCCAGCCCGGGCGCCTCCGCCCCGGCGCCCCCGCCCCCACCCTTGGCCCCGGGGACGCTTGCGTCCGACTCGGGGTGGCCCGGGTGGGGCGGGCGCTTTGGGGACGCTGCGCCCCCACCAAGCGCCGTGCGCTCTTGTGTCTGCAGCGCCGGCGCCCCCCATGCGCCAGGGGGCCGGAGGGCGCCGTCGGGGGGCGCTATGGCTTCGGCGGCGGCGGGTGAAGCGGAAGAGACCACCCGGCTGCGCAAGCCGCGCTTCTCGTTCGAGGAGAACCAGATCCTGATCCAGGAGGTGCGCGCCCACTACCCGCAGCTGTACGGCGCGCAGAGTCGTCGGGTGAGCGTGGCCGAGCGGCGGCGCCTGTGGGACGGCATCGCCGCCAAGATCAACGGTATTACCAGCTGGAAGCGCACGGGCCAGGAGGTGCAGAAGCGCTGGAACGACTTCAAGCGCCGCACCAAGGAGAAGCTGGCCCGCGTGCCGCACTCCACGCAGGGCGCCGGGCCCACCGCCGAGGACGTCTTCTCTGCTGAGGAGGAGACCATTTTTGCCATTCTGGGGCCTGGCGTGGCTGCGCCGGGCGCTGGGGTCGGAGCCGGGGCTGAGCAGCACCCCGTGGCCGCCTCCTCGCAGCCGCCGGCCTCAGGAGCCTTGGCCCAACGCTGTGTGTTATCCGAGGATCGCAGGGAGGATCGACAGACAGGTGAGTTCCTTTACTGTCACCTTAGCAAGGTCCTCACTGCCACCTGTAAGATGGGTATCATAGCCGCTTTTTACACCTGGGTAAACTAAGGTTCTGAAAAGGGAAATGATTAGCAACTCTCATAGTCATGGGTGGGACCCAGGCCCGGAAGATCTGTCTCCAAAGTCCACAGCTGGAACCATCAACATAACAGCATCCAACACTTTGGGAACACTTCTGCAATACAGAGGATTAAGCACTCTGGCTGCTGGCCTAAAGGTTAATGGTTCAAACCCACCCAGCGGCTCCACTAGGAGAAAGACCTGGCATTCTGTTCCTGTAAAGATCACAGCCGATGGGGCAGTTCTACTCTGTCACATGGGGTCACTATGGTTGGAACCAACTTGCTGGCACTTGACAACATCAAGTACCAAATGCTGTGCTAAGTTTTCTAAGCAAAGGGTTTCATGACCACAGCAGATGTAGTACAGGGCAGGGACTCTGGGGAAACGATTATCGGGCTCCAATCACAGCTTTGCCACTTAACTGTGGCATCTGGGGTAAAGCTAACCACACTGCCAGCAAGACGGTTTCAACTTATAATGACTCTAGAGGGCAGAGTAGAACTGCCCCACCAAGTTTCCAAGGCTGTAATCTCTAACAAGGAAAAAAAAAAAAAATTCACTGTTATCTAGCCAGATGTGACTCATAGTGACCCTTCCTTGGGTTTCTGAGGTGGTATCACTATGGAAGTAGACTGCCCAATTTTCCTTCTGAGGAGCAGCTCTTGGGTTTGAACTGCCAGCCTTCTGGTTAGTAGTCAAATGCCTTAGGCACTGTGCCACCAGAGCTCCTAATCTACAGCAAAGCAAAGCCCCAGCTAAACCCACTGTAGGCAAGTGGCTTCTGACTCACAGCCCCGTAGAGGACAGAGTGGAACCACACCACAGGGTGTCCAAGGCTGTCAATCTTTACAGAAGCAAAGCCCAAACCAAACCCACTGCCATGGAGTCGATTCTGACTCACAGCCCCCTAGAGGACAGAGTAGAACTGCCCCATAGGGTTTGCAAGACTGTCATCTTTGCAGAAGGTGACTGCTTCATCTTTCTCCCATGGAGCAGCTGGTGGGTTGAAACTGGCATCCTTTCAGTTTGCAGCCGAGTGCTTAATCACTGTGCCACTAGGGCTCCTTTTGGGTAAGCTCCAGCACCTCAATTTCTGCATCTGTAAATGGGGATGAGGTGTCCTGGTGGTGCAGTAGTTAAACGCTCATCTGCTAACTGAAAGGTCAAGACTTTCAGTCTTGGAAACCCTATGGGGCCATAGTCCATCTGTCCTATAGGGTCACTATGAGCCAGAATCAGTTCCACGGGGATTTTTAAGATGAGGATAAAAATAGTCCCCACCTCAAAGGACTGTTGAGAGGATTAAGTGTGTTAACGTTTGTAAATTGCTCAGCACCCAGCCAGGTAAAGGCTCACTACTGATGCTTGATAGAGATGCCACTGCTGTAGGGTAAGTACTATCTCACCTTGTGAACTAAAGACTCAGAGAGCTTTGGTAATTTCCCAAGGTCATGTCCTGAGTAGCAGAGATATGGAGAGCTGAGTAGAGACCACGTGCTTAACCTCGAACCTGAACTATTATTTCTTTTGAAGCTATTCCCTGAGCACCTGCCCTGTGCTGGGCAGCTGGGGACATGGTGATGACTGAGCTATCCTCACAGGGCATACAGTCCAGTGGGGGAGACAGACCTGTCCCCAGAGAGTGACCAGATTGGGGACCCCAGGGGCAGGGGGTTGCTGACCCAGCCTAGGAAGGTCATGGAGGGCTTCCTGGAGGAGGGGACATCAGACCTGAGATGCCAAATGTGAGGATGAGTGAGCCAGATGAGGAAGAGCTGGAAAAATATTCCTGGTAGAAGGAACAGCAGTGCAATGGCTTGGAGGCAAGTGAGCTTGTCCTTTAGGAAGCTGAGAGAAGTGCCTGAGTTCATAGGGGCGGTGAGTGGAAAGATTGAAGAAAGGCCTGTTAAGATGAGATCAGAGAAGTGGCCACTGGCCTTTAGGCCAAGCTAAGGAGTTGGGATTTATCTTAAATACCATGGGCAGCCACTGAAGGGTTTTGAATAAGACATGGACATAAACAGACATGGCAGTTCAGGATCATATAATTCAGAGAGGTTCATTTACTCGCCCAAGGTCACACAGCAAGTAAATAGTAGATTTGGAAAGCAAGCACAAGTGTGTGTCCAATACACAGTCCGTTGTTCTAGATTGCCACCGATAACAATAGCAGTTCATATTGACTGAGTTTGTGTCGTTATTAAATCACACATGATGGCAAGTCAAAGTCAAGACTTTGGATTTCAGCTTGAGGGTATCTGGAGGCATGAAACTGCCTTAAGCAGAAGAGAGACCTCTTGTTCCCAGTTGCAGTCAAAATTCAGTGTTTTTATCTGTGAAATGTCCCCACTGGACCAAAGCAAACATCTCAAATTGATTTTTGTTAAACGTTCTAAAGTTCCTTCCTTCCTTTATTCAACAAATATTTATTGAGCTCCAGTTCGCCAGGCAGGCACTGTAGTGGTGTTGTTGGGAACCATGAAGTGGATTCTAACTCCTAGCGACCCCACGTGACAGAATGGACTGCCCCGTAGGGTTTTCTTCACTATGATTTTTATGGAAACAGATGGCTAAGTCTTTTTCCCGCTGAGTGAGTTTGAACTGCCAGCCTCTTGGTTAGCAGCTGAGTGCTTAATCGTGTGCCACCAGGGCTCCTTAGGCACTGTTGTGGGTGCTGGGCATACTACAGACAAAAGGACAACTTAGCTTCTTTTATGGACCTGATGTCCTAGTGGGGAGAGACAGACCAAAACAGGTAACAACAAAACAGATCATATGTCAGGAGGTGATAGGAACAAAAAGAAAAATAAAGCCGGTTAAGAGGATAGTGAGTGATGGAAGGGGAGGGGCGGTCTGCTCTAGATAAGGTAGTCAGGGAGGGCTTCTTGGAGGAGTTGAAATTTGAGTAGAGTTCTGCATGGAGAAAGCTGGTCATAGTGCTGTCTTAGGGAAGAGCACTCCAGGCAGATGAAGCCAGAAGCCAGTATGTGCAAAGGCCCTGAGGCAGGCACCTGCTCTCGGCCTCGTAGATTAGACCCTGACACAGACACGCATGATGCTTGTTGATGACAAGAATGGCTAGGGGTCCGCTCTGCAGTCTGAGGCGTCTTTGTTGACACTGGAGGGAGGGCTAAGGACTGTTTATCTCTGACGTAATATTCGAAAGAAGAATAATAGTAATACCAACATTGAGAACTCAGTATGCACCAGACACTGTCCTAAACCCTGAACCACTGGTGACTCAGATCCCTGTCATGAGTCCTAGTGAGAGGTTTCATTACTGGGTTACCCGGTCCCACCCTCACACACACACCCATTTACAGGCGGGGAAACAGGCCCAACAGTTAGAATATTTAAATTGTCCAAGTGGCCCTTCCGAAGGAGCTCTGGTGGCACAGTGGATAAGGCATTTGGCTGCTAACCAGAAGGTCAGCAGTTCAAACCCACCAGCTGCTCCTTGGAAGGAAGACTGGGCAATCTACTTCCATAAAGATTTACTGCCTCAGAAACCCAAAGGGGTCGCGCTATGAGTCAGATTGACTGATGATGGTGAGTTTGTTTTTTTTTGGTTTTTACTAACCAAAGAGTTAGTGGTTTGAACTAACTCAGCAGTGCTGCAGAAAAAAGGTCTGGTGACCTGCTTCCATAACTTACAGCCAGTCCAAGGTGTAACTATTGGTCTCTCCCTGCCGGAGCAAAGAAGAGTGAAGAAAATCAAAGGCACAAGGACACAATTAGTCCTGACGACTAATGGACCACGTGAACTCCGGCCTCCCCCACACTGAGACCATGCAAGATGGCGCCCGGCTACCACAGCTAACTGCTCTGAAAGGGCAACTATCGGAGGTCCCGGATAGAGTGGGAGAAAGATGTGGAACAAAACTCAGAATCATCAAAAAAAAAGACCGGGCATACTGGTTAGATAGAGACTGGTGGAACCCCCAAGACTATGGCCCCCAAGACTCACCCCCTATGGCTTAACTTTCAGCCAAACAATAAAAACTCAAAAACTCACTGCCACTGAGTCAATTCTGACTCATAGCGACCCCCATTGGGTTTCTGAGGTGGTAGATGTTTACAGAAGTATAGTGCCCAGTCTTCCTTCCGCAGAGAGGCTAGTGGGTTTGAACCACCAGCCTTCTGGTTAGCAGCTGAACGCCTTAGGCACTATGCCAGCAGAGTTCCTTAGCCAGACAGTAGACAGGCCTATAAGGTGCATGGGAGCTCTGGTGGTGTAGTGCCTAAAGCATTTGACTGCTAATCAGAAGTCTGGTGGTTGAAACCCACCAGCTACTCCTCGGAAGAAAGACGGGGCAATCTACTTCTGTTTTGGTTCCCTAGTGCAGCTCTGACAAAAATATACCACAAATGGGGTAACAAACAGGAATTTACTCTCTTAGGTTTTGGAGGCTGTAAGTCCAAGTTCAAAGTGCTAGGCTCTAGGGTCTGGGTGAAAGCCCCTCAACCTTGGGGTCCAGCTCTGCCTCCTGCTCCCAGCCCACTGGAGCTAGAGGCGATTCTTCACTCAGACAGCTGCTGGCTGCTGAGGCTGAGAAGCCCCAAAGTTGACAAGTCAAAAGGCACAGTCCCGATGTTACCAATCCACACAGCAGGCCATTAACTTAAGTCCATTGTAAGTCCCAAGGTCAGCAGAGCATAGCAGGCTGCTGAGCAACGACACGGCTACATGCAGGGCCCAAGCGTGCCACAGGCTAGAGACCATTCCCAAGGCTTCTCCTTATACACAGGAAGCAGACCACATTCCC